TGATTTTATTATGAATAACAAATAATAGTATAAAATAATCGAATCATATATTAGGTGACTCTCCGCCGAAGATCAATACGGAACTCAATAGGTGGCTTTTCGGCGAAGATGTAGCGAAGTGAACTCATGAATGTTGTCAAAAATCAGTTAGATCACCAACTTCAAAAAATAATTATCGTCAATTCATGAGGATTTTACTTTGATTTTTGGATACGTTATAGACTTTGATGTCTAGTTTCTATAGAATCAAGTCGCTTGTCATTCGAATCGCCTACCCAAGATAGAGATTGTCGACATATAAATTGTAATTGGATCAAATTCATACAAAATTTGAATTAAATATGTTCATTTGGGCTGAATGATTAATTTGAGCTTTACAAATAAATGAGTTCATTTTATCAAAGTTGAAATCCAAGGTTCATTTCACCTTGAAGCCCAAACTCATGCCACGTGGCATGGTGACTAGGCATCTGAACCAACAAGGTGAAGCCACATGTCCAAATGAGGTGTTAGTCCCATTCAAGTGCAAGAACCAATTTCAGCACGCCAAGTGTCAAAATGACATTCTTTGGCCAATCATATGCAACCTTATCCACCCCTACAACTATAAATAGGGGATGAACATGACATTCAAGAGGATCGTAAAAAAACTCTTCAACAAGCATTCAACAAATTGGAGAAAACTACAACATCAACATCGATAGTTCTTCGAAAGGGTTATCAACGGAGTTCTTCCTGGAGATCAACTTACAACGACAAATCGCTTTCTGACGTCCCGGAGATTGACAACATCTCAAGGAGGTATACATCATCCTATATTCGAGAAATACGCTACTGAAGGCCCTCGAACCACGGATAAACTTAGGAGAGAGAATTAAGAGAACAACAGAATTGTACTCACAACGATTCATTAATAAAATCACATTTTTCTTTTATTTATTTTACTTGCAGTTAATTTTCCACGCTTAAGAAAATTTATTGCAAACATATTTGACACGCCTAGTGGAAACAATTCTGTTCTTCATCTATTTCTCTTGCAAATCAGAAACTACAGAGGCTACTACTGCAATGATGTTCAGAAAGAGTTGTAATTTTTCTAACAAGGAGTCTACTGATGTCGTGTCTGCTGGTCTCAGTCATGTTGGCTCTATTACTTGGTGTAAGTTAAAAAATAATGGGCTAGATGGATCTGAATACTTCACTTCTTTGGAGGCGATGAAAAGCAAAAATTCTCATACGATGGTCGTAAGTGCAACACCTAGGGGAAATCTTGTGTTTGTATTCTTCGGAGATTCTTCTCAAATTGGCTCCAACTTTGGTGATTCGGAAGATTCAATGGATTCTCCAACTTCAATGAATGTCAATGCTTTGATGGCTGACTCAACTGACATGGACGAGAAGTTTGCAATGATGGAGCAAACATTGAGGCCTTGAAGAAATCTGTTGATGACAAAAATCTTCATATTGCTCAACTTATGAACAAGTTGGAGACCTTTACGCCTGGAGAGTCAAGTCACGTTCCCACTTGTCAAACTGGTTTTGATCAACGAAATAAGGACGTTGAGGAATCTCTAGCAAAGTCCAAGTTTCAAAAGGAGAAACAATCTGCTTCAGTTGCTGCACTATCTATCCAACAGTAGCAAGACATGATAACGAACTCTATCAGAATCAATATCGCAGACACCAAAAAGTTCCTTGTATTACTCCAAGCCATATACCAGACGGATTGATTGTCTATCAATGCCAACAAATTATCAACCACTAACGCTACAACATTTTGATGGCAAAGGGAACCCAAGACAGCATATTTCCCATTTTGTTGAAACTTGTAGCAATGCTGGAACACATGATGACCTTTTGGTAAAATAATTTGTTCGTTCGCTGAAAGGGAATGCCTTCGACTGGTATATTGACCTGAAACATGAGTCCATTGATAGTTGGGAGCAACTTGAGAAGGAATTTCTTAATCGTTTCTACAGTACTTGCCGAACTGTAAGCATGATAGAGTTTACTGGGACTAAGCAAAGAAAGGACGAGCCTGTGGTGGATTATATCAATCGTTGGAGATCGTTGAGCCTAGAATGCAAAGATCGTCATTCTGAAATATCTGCTGTGGAAATGTGCATTCAGGGTATGCATTGGGGACTTTTATACATACTATATGGAATTAAGCCGCGAACTTTTGAAGAACTTGCTACACGAGCGCATGACATGGAGTTGAGCATCGCACGCAATGGGAAGACATCTTCTTTTGCTAATTTAATGAAGAAAAAGAAGGAGTTGAACAAAGGTATGAACTCAAAGATCCAGACTAACAAATCTATGGCGGTAGAAGCAACTTCTGTAAAGGTCACCACCAAGAGTAAACTAAAAGAGGAAGAAGCCCCAAGTCAATATCCAAGGGAGGAGAGGCGACTCCCAACCTTGAGAGAGTTAGAGACAAAGGTCAACCCATTTCTAGATTCAGATGTACTCTATGATTCTTGAGGAATTACTGGCTAAGAAGGTTATTTATCTTCTTGAGTCTAAGAGGCCTGAAGAGATCAATAAGGTTGATCATCCTAGATATTGTAAGTTTCACACTCGACAAGTAAATGTTTTATCTTGAAGGAGAAAATCATGATGTTGGTAAGTGAAGGAAAAATCGTCATTAACCAAGATGAAACAGCGGAGGCAAATCATGCTAGTGTAGCACCAAATCGAAAGAAGTGCTCAAGGTCACCATCTGTTCCAAACGCCACCTTTTTGCAATTTGGAAGTTTAGCACCTGTTAAAGTTGATGTTCCAAGGAAAACTCTCGAGGATTCACTAGAGATAGACAACCACAAGGAAAATGAAGTTGATGGTTGGACTTGGGTTACTCGTAAGAAGCAGAGACATCAAGCAGTTCTTTGGATACGACTTCCTAAGACAAGAGCGACAAGGAGCGATGTGAATAAGCTACAACCATAAAAAAGTGTCAAGCCTTGTACTATTCGAAAGATCAATGGTCCTTCATTGCAGAAGGTTCGAAGGCCCATTACATTGGATGAATTCTTTCCTAAAAAATTCTTGTGGTAGTCAAATTGGTGCAACACATGTTATTTCCAGCATAGACGAAACAAAGGGAAACAAAGGTGAGCATAATCCAACAAATAACACAAGAACATCAAAGTGATGAAAAAGTGCCCCATGTTGTGCTGCAATATCCTTCACAGATGATGACTTGTTGTTAGGGTCTAAGCTACATAATAGACCCTTGTTTGTTGTAGGGTCTATTCAAGAGCAACATCTTAATTTCATACTAATTGATGGTGGTTCGGGAGTCAATATCATGCCAAAAGTTGTTCTGAAAAAACTTGGTATCTTTATTGATGAATTTTCCAAAAGTAATCTGACGATTCAAGGTTTCAATCAAGGAGGACAACGATCCACAGGGAAGATTCGTGTAGGATTATCTATTGGCAATGTGAAATCAAACACTTTAATTCATGTCATAGATGCCAAAACATCATACAACTTGTTGTTCGGACGTCTTTGGGTTCATGAAAATGGAGTGGTGCTATCTGTTTTGCATCAATGCATGAAGTACATGAAAGATGGTGAAGTCGTCAAAATTGATGCAGACATCAATCCTTTCACTGAGACAGAGTCATATTTTGCAGATGCAAAATTCTACTTAGATTCTGGAAGATCAAATATGGAAAAATATGAAGAAGCCGACTCAATTGCTTTCGAAGATAGTAAAGTTCAATGGGCTGCTATCAAGATGTCTAAGAAGAGGACGGAAGAGGTTTCCCTCAAGCTTTCACTATCTAAAGGAGACGTGCAGACTAAAATGGATGATGAGCAACCAATTTTTGGTATATTCCACGTGAACATCGAAAAAAGGGACAATCACTGCTAGAGGAATGCACTCAACAAGTCCAGCCACCGAGGAAGGAACTTAGTCACATAACCCTCCAAGATTTGAAAGAGAAAATGACTGTCCCAGTCGCACAAATCCCGTGTGTCGCTTTGGAGCCCTCTAAAGTCAATATCCAAGTTGGTAAGATAAAAGGGAACTTTGATCAAAAGGTCTTCACATTGTTTGAAAAATCGGGCTATGATTTCTCAAATCCAGCGAAATTAGAAGAACTCAGGGGTGAATTCATTGGTGAAAAGATACACGGGATTATAAAGTCTCAAATGCAGTTAAGAAAGTAAGGATATCATGTCACAACTCCTAAGTTTGGGTTAGGATTCAGCTTGCCAGAGCCTCTTCGAATTTCGTCTAAGAAGGGGAAAGAAGTTACTTCATCCTACTACACCTCTACAGAAAAGACAGAGGAAGCTAAGGAGGGTAAAACACCACGACGGACTTCGGTGTTTGAACACATTGGGAGATTGACACCTCGTGTCTCTGCATTTGAAAAACTGGGCTGCAAGGGCGAGAGAGGATCATCTAAACAAGTGGATGAATATTCCACCACCTCAAATACCTCTGTATTTCATTGCTTGGGAACCAAAAGAAAGCCATTATCCGAAAAGAGATTGCTAGAGCATGAAAATCAAGATTCTAGTGATATAATTGACGACAAAGATATTCATAGTGTTTTCCCATCACGTATAAATAGAAAGGTTGTATTGTCGATCACCACTGATGGCTTTTTTAGGGCAAAAAGAAGTACAATTATTGTCACCAACCAATTTCATGGAGAAACCAATAAGGAGGAAGATAAATCCATCAAAGTCTTCATGAGAAACGAGGTAGAAGATTCAAACTTGACATAATCATCCTATCATATAACAGTGGAAAAAGTTCCAGACGTTGATGATGCAAATAATTATGTCCAAGAGGCTCCCCCGCAATTGAAGGATGGCGTACAATCTACCGTAGACGACCTCAAGGAAAAAATCTAGGCACTATAGAAGATCCACGTCCAATCTTCATTAGCACACTTCTTACATCAGAAGAAGAGAGGAAATACTTTAAGTTATTGGTTGAGTTTAAGGATATTTTTGCTTGGTCGTACAAAGAAATGCCAGGCCTTAGTCCCAGCATAGCTATTCATCATTTGGGGATCAAAAAGGGAACACATCCTATAAAGCAGTCACAACGAGTGTTTCATCCGGAGTTGGTCACACATATTGAAGCGGAGGTCAACAAGCTCATCGAAGCTGGGTTAATTCAAGAAGATAAATACCCTTTGTGGATCTCAAATATTGTGCCTGTTAAGAAGAAGAATGGTCAAATACGTGTATGTGTTGATTTTCGAGATTTGAACAAGGCGCATCCAAAAGATGACTTCCCTCTACCAATCATTGAGCTCATGGTTGATGCTACAACTGGGCATGAAGCTATGTCATTTATGGATGGTTCTTTTGGATATAATCAAATCAGAATGTCTCCAAAATATGAAGAATACGCTGCATTTTGAACTCCAAAAAGAATTTATTGTTACAAAGTGATGCCCTTTGGTCTAAAGTTTGCTGGGGCCACCTATCAACGTGCAATGCAAAAACATATTTGATGACATTATTCATAAGAGGGTGGAATGTTACGTCAATGACTTAGTGGTAAAGACGAAGCAAAGGAAACACCATCTTGAAGACCTTCGAATTATTTTTAAAAGGTTAAGGAAGTTTGACCTAAAGTTGAATCCTCTCAAATGAGCAGTTGGGGTTACCTCTGGAAAGTTTCTTGTCTTCATTGTGCGTCACCGAGGAATTGAAGTTGATCCTGCAAAGATTGATGCCATTCGAAAAATGCCTGATACAAAGAACTTGAGAGACCTCCGCAGTCTACAAGGAAATTAGGCATTCATCCGTAGGTTCATTTCTAACCTTGCTGGACGATGTCAACCCTTCAATCATTTGATGAAGAAAGATGCTTATTTCCACTGGGATCAATCATGTCAAAATGCTTTTGAAAGCATCAAAAGCTACTTCTTGAATTCACCTGTATTAGGGGCACCAACTCCTGGAAAGCTATTGATACTATACATTGCATCGCAAGACCGATCACTTGGGGCACTTCTTGTCCAAGAGAATGAAGCTAAGAAGGAACAAGCACTATACTATTTGAGTCAGACTTTGATAGGGGCTGAGTTGAATTATACACCTACGAGAAGATATGCTTAGCATTGTTTTATGAAATAAAGAAATTGAGGCATTATTTTGAAGCCTACATCGTCAAGCTAATTTCTCGGGCTGATCCCGTGAAGTTTGTAATGACTCGACCAGTTCTCTTAGGATGTCTAGAAAGATGATCTATATTGTTTAATCAATATGATATCCCATGCACACCTCAAAAAGCTGTGAAGGGGCAAGCACTTGCTAATCTCCTTGCTAATCATCCTCTTTCGGGAAAATGGGAAACTTCAGATGAGTTCCCTGATGAAGACACATTTTTTACTAAAGAGCTACCATCCTGGACAATGTTCGTTGATGGATCTGCATGCCGAGAAAAAGCAGGGCCAGGAGTGGTGTTGATATCTCCAGAAGGACTAATCTTACCATTCTCTTTTGTTCTAGGTGAAACATGTTCCAACAATGTTGCAGAATACCAAGCTTTAATTGTGGGCCTTGAAATGGCATCAGATATGAAGAATCCTCAATTGGATGTATCCGGTGACTCACTATTGATCATCAATCAACTTTTGAGGAGTTATGAGGTGAAGAAAGAAGATTTTTTGTCATATCACCAGTATGCTACTTTCTTACTTGAAAGGTTTGATCGAGTGTTCTTAAATCAAGTCCCAAGAGAAGAAAACCGTATGGTAGATGCTTTGGCTAACTTGGCTACAACAATGGCACTTGGAGAAAATAAGACAAAAAAGGTACGTACATGTATGTCATCGATGGGTTGTTCCTAGTTGTCTTGATCTTCAAATCGATGAAGGCCATCATATATCTATTCGGGTGGCTGAAGAAGAAGATTGGAGGAAACCACTGATTGAGTATCTTGAACATGGAAGGCTGCATGAGGATCCACGAGTAAGTGCAGACATTAAGAGAAGGGCACCACGATTCATCTTTCATGATGAAATACTATTTCTTCGTTCTGTTGAGGGACTATTCTTGCGGTGTCTTGAAAAAGAAGAAGCTCAACAAACAATGGAAAAGGCACATTCTGGCACATGTGGAGCTCGCCAATCAGGGTCTAAACTTCATTTTCGCATCAAGAGAATGGGCTACTATTGGCCGACAATGGCAATGAACTGCTTAGAGCATGCCAAAAAGTGTCAAGCGTGTCAATTCCATGCTAAATACATTCATCAATCTCCAGAGGCTCTACATCTGACTATAGCCTCGTGGCCCTTCGATGCATGGGGACTTGATGTTGTTGGACCTCTTCCAAAATCATGAAAAGGACAAATGTATATCTTGGCTGCCACTAACTATTTCTCTAGATGGGCTGAAGTTGTATCATTAAAAGAGGTAAAGAAGAAAAATGTTGTTGATTTTATCAAATCAAACATAATTTTTATTTATGGCATACCATGATGTATAGTCACTGATAATGGAACGCCATTCAACAATAAGCTTATGAGTAGTTTGTGTGAGCAGTTCAGTTTTAAGCAACATAAATCTTCAATGTACAATGCACCTGCCAATGGTCTTGCTGAAGCTTATAACAAAACACTTGGTAACCTATTGAAGAAAGTAGTTGCAAAGAATAAAAGAGACTGGCATGAGAGAATTGGTGAAGCTTTTTGGGCATATCGTACAACCTTTAGAACGGCTACGCAAGCGACGCCGTTTTCGTTGGTGTATGGCGTAGAAGCAGTCCTTCCATTGGAGAAGCAAATTCCATCATTGCGAATAGCAGTCCAAGAAGGACTTACAACTGAAAGCAACGCCCAACTTCGTCTAGCAGAGTTAGAGCATTGAATGAAAAGAGATTGGAAGCGCAACAAAAATTGGATTGTTATCAAGCTCGACTTGCAAGAGAATTCAATAAGAAAGTGCGACCTCGATCATTTCAAGTGGGAGACTTGGTCTTAGAAGTTCGGAGACCCATAATCCTAAACAAACGCATCGGGGACAAATTCACATCAAAATGGGACGAACCGTATGTTGTGAAGGAAGCATATTCAAGTGGCGCTTACAATATTTTAGACCAAGACGGTGTGAGAGTTGGTCCCATCAATGCCAAGTTTTTGAAGCAATACTTCCCATAAAAGTCGTCTACACTCCTTAAGGTGTATAAACATCATGTTAATCCTGGCCCGCAAGAGTATAAGTTGTACGACCCAAAAAAAGAAGCAAAAAAAAGAAAAAAAACTCATCATCTTAAACTACGATATGACTTGATCCTCTTCACCGAGGTACGTAGGCGCTTGGAGTAATCACTCTAAGCTCAGTCAAATGAGTAAAGAAAAAAGAAAAGAAGCTCGCCAAGGAGTTCCTTAGCATTGGATCAAGCGACTTGCAATTCTACTAGAGTTTTTTTTTATGATGGAGATAGTTTTTTGTAATTCACTGATGCTTCAGTAAGTTACTCAAAATTAGAGGCATCTTTACCTATAACATTAAAACTGGATACCCTTTAGGATCAAAGCTCTATGTTGAAATGGTAAACCCGCAGAGATCATGGTACGAACACTCCAAGGTCAAGAGACAATTTTTCTTTCAGTTGTCAATGCAAGAGTGACATGACATCGTGTTGTGCGGAATTTGAGATAATACGAGAAAATATAAACGCGAAAAACAAGACAACAGATTTACGTGGTTCACCAATAAATTGGCTACGTCCACGGGAAGAGAGGGAGCAGTTTTATTATGGAGAGGAAAAAACAGAATTACAAAATAGGGTTTGTCATAGCGTCTATATATATAGTGCTAAGCTACGCCCTAACAGGCTTGGGCCCAACATACAGAATCAGCGAGACCCCCGTCCTTTCTGTTTGTAGCGGGTCCGATTCAAGGCATTCAACACATCGGAATCTTCAGGGAGAAATGGCATGTCTTCTAATTCTTCTAGAGAGCCTTACAGGGGTGATGACTTCTTCTTCTCCACTTGCATACATGACAGAAATCCTTTATATGAAGTGAAACTTCCATAAGAAGGTCTTTCTTGCTATAAGATGAACTTATGCTAAAGCTGCTCATGTATGAAAGACAAGAGTCTCCCGTGACATCGACTTTTGTGGGTCAATTTTGAGAGAAATACTTCTCCTGGACAACATGGTGTGTTGCACATTTCTTACTTGAGACTTGATCAGCATGAACTGCTACTAGATGCATAGTCCTATCAGCAGCAAGCAGACTCGGTGCAAGTGAGGAATTCTCAGTATCTGATATGCTCCAGCATTATCTCCATCATTTCTATTAGTTGGAGACGACATCATTTCCAAAGTTTGGACTTCTTCGACAACAGAATTATCTTTCACTAAGTTTTCAGGACTGTCGTTCACAGACTCAAATGCAACATCATTACTGATAAAATGATAAACAATGTATTTGGATTTAGCCAATCAAGATGAACATTAGAAGTTTCGTCACAGTGAAATAAGAAGCTCATAGTTTCAGAATTCAGGCTGACTACATCTATGCTAATCTGGAAAGCTATTGGCCATGATTTTTACATATGATGTACATCTATGAGTTGTACTTCCAACAGAGCAAGAATCGCATCATTTCGAGGCTCCTACGCCGAGATATTGATTTTCTCCCGAAGTTGCTAAAAGCTGAAAAGTTGAGTAAGACAAAACTGTAGCCAACTTTGAAAATACATATGTACTAATCTCGAAGGATTTTGGCCGTGATTTTTACATGAGTTATATTTCTATTGAGTTACGCTTCCAACGGATCAAGTATCGCATCATTTTGAGGCTCCTACGCCGAGATATTAATTTTCTCCCGAAGTTGCTAAAAGCTGAAAAGTTGAGCGAGACCGAACTGTAGCCAACTTTGAAAATACATATGTACTAATCTTGAAGGATTTTGGCCGTGATTTTTACATGAGTTATATTTCTATGAGTTATGCTTCCAATTAAAGAAAAATCACATTATTTTGATGCCCCCACATCGAGTTATTGGTTTTCTACCGTAGGTGCTATAAGCTGAAAAGTCTATTAAGGCAACATTCGAGCTAACTATGGAATAGTAGGCGTACTAGCCCGGAAATCTTTCAGTCATGAATTTCACATATATTATATTTGTATAAGTTATATTTCTAATGAAATGCTGCATTCTTTGTTTGAGTGCTCCTACTACGAGTTACAGAATTTTAAAATAAGAACTCAAAGCTGAAATTTTGGGAGAAAGTAGTCCGGCATCTGGAGTAAGTTACATAGTACACGACAAACACTCAAACTAGAGAACTGAAAGAACGCACTTGAGAAGAAGAGAAAAACCCAACACTTTTATTCATTCAAGAAGGTCACTACATCAGAACAATGTTTCAAAAAAAAAACAAGACAAAAAAATCACACAATAGAACAAGAAATTGAGAAAGAACGACATTATGCGGGATAAAAGACTAAGAAATAAACTTATGTCTAAGGATTTGGTGAAGACTTGTCTCAGCATCTTTCTTTAGCTTATCTAGTTCTTTTATTTCTATTTCCGGCAAGGGAACGATTTTCTCAATGGCATGAATTTCATCTTCACGGTTAGTGATAATCTTTTGATTTTGAGATAACCTCTTTTGATGATCCTCAATAAGCGAGATGGTTTTCTTCTTCTTTGAAGTCCATACTTTCAACTCTTTTTCAGCTCTTGCAAAGACTTTTTGAAGCCCTTCCAAGTGTTTTTCCATATTGATTCTCTCCTCATTTGCGGTATTAAGACCTTGTTGGGCAGCAGAAAGCAACTCTTGATGAGAATCCCTTCTTATCTTTTGAGAAGTGGACTGCCTTGCAACATCATAATCTCTATGTTTCTTGAGAAAATCTTCAAGGAGAACCTCTAAAGGATTAAGGTTGATAAAGTCAACTTGTCGAAGACCGTTCAGTATCAAGGCAAAACCTATCTCCAAATCTTTGTGGTTCTCTGAAGATTCAAAAAAGAATTGAGTGATACACTCACATAAGGTGCGCCACATTCCAGAAACATAAGACAATTTGAAGCCAGGAATAATCTTTGGTGATTCAAAATTATAGGCAGTTGCCAACAAAGGGAAAACCAAATCCTTGGAAACATTTGGACATACAATTTGAGAAGTTTCAACAACCTCCACATTAGTTGAGATGTTTTGAAAAGTTTCAACATTTTCAGAAAAAAAGGACCATTGGCTTTGTCGGTTGGATCTCATTCGCGGCTTGATTCTTAACTTCAACAAGTGGGGGGTGAGAACTCTTCGCCACATAGAGAAAAGTCGAGCTGGTGATACAATCTTCAAATACATCTACATCGCTAGGGATGTCCCCAAGACCCAACTGGATATTTAAAGAAAAAAACTGAATTAATATTCAATAATTAAAAAAAAAGGGTGCAAGTAAGTTTAGAGAAATTTTTGAAAGGTGATTTTTACCTGTTGTGCCAATTCTTTCAAGGGCATTGTAGAACCAGCAGCACCATCTTCAAAGATCGCAGTGTCAATACAAATGGAATCCGATTCAGCGAACTCGCATTGTTGAGTGTTCAAGTCCTTAGGCTTTTTCTTCAAACGCTTCCAATGTAGCTCTTGGCTAACATTGCTCTCATTGGAGCTAGAGGCTGCACTAATGCAAATGTCGATCTCCTGGAGTGAAATAGACATTTTTGACGTGTTACTATAAGACGGTGCAATGCCAAGTGACTTTACAACACCTTCGTTCGATGAGCTGGAAGGTTTCTTCCTCTTGAGAGTTACCTTGATCACCTTTTTATCAGCGAGGTTGACAGCCTTGGGAGTCTGTAAAGGATCCTCACCTTCTTTACCAACATTTGTTGTCTTGCTCTTCAAACTTTTAGACTTGGAAACAACTCTAACAGATTGCGGAGGAATGTTTGGTGTCGCCTTGGACTTTAAAGGCTGAGATAGCTTTTCTTGAAGTTGTTCTCCTTTGGTTGATAAAGAAACATCATCTCTTTTCGGGCTTCTCAAAATTATGTGAGTACTTCGTCTTAGCAGAGTCTCTCAATGGGATGGCCATCAATCTGAATACTCACGAGTCATTAAAGAGCCCTTATTGGATGGACGCATTGGTATGATGATCTTCGAAGAGCTTCCAAGATGAACACATGAATCCCATGGTTGAACCAAAGCTAGTAGTGAACCATCATAATGGTGCTCTATGAGGGCGCCAGGAAAATCTTGAAAATATCCAAATTGACGACTAAATCGGTGAGGGATATAAGGATCTACAATCAAATTCATTATCGAACCTCAAAGTGACAAAACTTGAACGGAGGGCTATAAAAAAATCGCTCCAGGAAGTGGACAATTTTCCACTATCATCAATATGCAACTCCTTTCCTTGTAGCATGGCTAGATTGTGGAGGTCATGCACATTCACTTATTGAAATAACTTGAGAGCATCAAAAAGGTCAAAATATTTTCCCATCCTTTCTCCAGAAATCTGCCAAATTCGCACACCTCGTTGAGGACGAGTAACATGGAAGTAGGTCTCAAAATACTCATCTGTCCACCCATATATATAATGGAGGGGAAGTAATGTATCACAAGCACCTAAGATTGAAGAAGTAGATATATCCTTAAGTCCGCGATAGATGCTTGCTAGGACCGGCACTGCCAAAGAAAATATTTCTCCATGAGCCATCAAGCTTGCGACTTTTAAGACACTAGCACGAATACAGTTGGATTTCTTGCTAGGAAGAACAAACTTACAAAGCCAACATACGAGAAAAGCTTCCATATAAGTCTCATCTCTGAATGATTTTTCTACGCCTAGCTCGACAAAAGGAGCATTCTCCTTTTTTGTTCGAGGCAAAAAGCTCATGTCAATATTTCCAGAAGTATCATGATTCATCCTTGGTTTTGTACGATTCTTAGATGTTTTTGGTGAAGGCTCGACATATTTTTTTGGCCCCCTAAACCAAAACTTTGTCCGTTCTCGAAAAGAGACTTCATCGATGGCACTTTTGGTAAGTCAATAGAATGCTGAAAACAAGAAGGAACTACTTCTTGGGAGAAAATACTTCCCTTGATCATCTACATGTGTCAACTCCTTAGCCGAGGGTACAACTTCCTCATAAAAGGAACCATGAACAAGAAGACCTCCAATGGTTCTTAAATCCCATAAAGAAATAGACAACTCTCCGATGAAGGTAGAGACCGTATTAGTGGATGGACGCCAGTTCTCGCAGAAGGCCTGGAGAACATTTTCGTTGTGATCGTATGTGAACATCGAAGCAAAGATAGCATCATAAGTTTTGATGTTATATAGAGTTTCCTTGGAGCGAGCAATCACATCCTCTACCCACTCTCAATAGCCAGACGTATAGCGGACCTCACCAAACCCAGAAGAAGGAACACGCCAACTGCTAAGATGTTCATCGCGACGAGGGACAGCAACAACAACATTTTAATGATTAGAAGACCTCAAAAGGAGAACTTTTTCAGTTGTGACCTTGTCGGAGAAATTGTCCGTAACATCCTTCGTTTCTGTTGACAACCACTCCGGGAGATGATGAGACGTATCCAGCATCTTCCTAATGAGTGGGAAGGCGCCAATCACCGCAGGATGAACTTTCAAAGTGAGAACTTTGGCGCGCGCGCATGTTGCTTGTTCTCAATGATTTCAAGGCAAGGGTACGGTGCATCTTGATCACTAAAGTCCATTGTCATTGCTGGAAACCAAGATCGCGCACTGAGGCTCTGAAAAAAAATCAAAAAGGTTATGTTGGCGAAAACACAATTGGAGTAATCAAAAGACAAAAAGATCTCACCATCAGAAATGGATTCAAACTTAAATATCAAAACTGTAGCAATTGAAAAAGAATTTGGCTACAAATATTTTATATGTCGTAGTGCCATGTTTCTAGTTTTGGAAAAATCAAAAGCCTTGCGGTTTCGATATTTCTACAATTAGAAATGAATTTTTTACTACGGATGCACAAATCTGTCAATCTCAAGCAGGTCCAACATTGAAGTTAAAAACTGTAGCAATGTATTGAAAGTTTGGCTGCAATTTTATTTCTACGTTATAGCCCCATGTTTCTAGTAAATCAAATGGCTTGCAATTTTGATTTTTCTACAATTAGAAATGAATTTTATACTACGGATTCGCAAATCTGTCAATCTCAAGCAGGTCTTACATTGAAGATAAAAACTGCAGCGATGGATTAAAAGTTTGGTTGCACTCTTTTTTCTAAAAGATAGCCTCGTGTTTCTCGTTTTGGAAAAATCAAACGGGTTGCAATTTCAACTTTTCTACAATTAGATATGGATTTTAAACTACAGGCGCGCAAAGCTGCAGCATAAAAACGGGTTACTGCCAAAAAAATCCTATTTTACCTGAGAAAGTAGCAAGAACACCTTGCTTGAAGTTTCTTTCGAGATATGAGGAAAGTTACGTCTATCGATTTGAAAGAAAGACGTCGCACTTTAAGAGTTCAATACACTCGCCTAACTTGCTTGTAGCATTTTGAATTTTTGTATGATGAAATTCTTTATGCATTGGAAGGGATTATATGGGGATTCTTGTGAATAACTTCTAATTCTCCCACAAGGCATAGTTAGGTGAATTTGAAAATTAAAAATCTGATTTGGATTAAAATATTTCATTTCCATTTCGAAGTCATACCAATATGGAAGGATAAACCAAAGAGTTAAGGAAAGAATATTATCTTCATTGACTTAGATAAAGGAAAGTTTATATTCTTTTTATTTGTAACAAAATCCAATCAATTTTCTTGATCTTTTTTTTTCCCCACCTTACAAGAAAGATCAGACAGAAAAAATGTTACTACCCACTAGACCTATTTATTTGAAATTGATATAGAGGGTCCATGTGGTTATCGAGCAAGAAGGTTTTTTTTAAAAAATGATTGATATCACTACAAGGAACTCATTTGTGGTGGTCTAGTTATAGTACGACGTACAAGGAAATCATTTGTGGTGGTCTAGTTATAGTACGACGACAAGAAACACATACTCTTGAAGCCTCAACAATGCATTCATGAAGACTTCAACTCTCGTCGTCAAATTCGGCAATCCTAAACGTCCACAAGACTCGAAAAAAAATGAAAACACATTCATGAATACTTCGAGTCTTGTCGCCAACTTCGGCAAGCCTAAATGTCGACAAGTCTCGAAGTAAGGGGCATTTGTAGACACGTAAATTGTAATTGTATCAAATTCATACAAGATTTGATTTAAATCCATGTTCATTTGGGCTGAATGATTAATTTGGGCTTTACAAATAAATGAGTTCATTTTATTAAAGTTGAAATCCAAGGTCCATTTCACCTTGAAGCCCAAACTCATGCCACGTGTCACGGTGACTAGGCATCCGAAACCAACAAGGTGATGCCACATGTCCAAATGAGGTGTTAGTCCCAGTCAAGTTTCAGAACCAATTACAGCATGTCAAGTGTCAAAATGATATCCTTTGGCCAATCATATGCAACCTTGTCCACCACCTACTACTATAAATAGGGGATGAACATGACATTCAAGAGGATCGAAAAAAAAAACTCTTCAACAAGCATTCAGCAAATTGAAGAAAACTACAACGTCAACATTGATAGTTCTTTGAAGGAGTGATCAACGGAGTTCTTCCCGGAGATCGACTTACAACGACGAATTGTTTTCTGACATCCTGGGGATTGACAACATCTCAAGGAGGTATACATCATCCTACATTCGAGAAATACGCTACTGAAGACCCTCGAACTGCGGATAAACTTAGGAGAGAGAATCAAGAGAACAACGAAATTTTACTCACAACGATTCATTAATAAAATCACATTTTTCTTTTATTTATTTTGCTTGCAGTTAATTTTTCACGCTTACGAAAATTTGTTGCGAACAGAGATGTTTCGGTGAGACTGCATAGAGCTTACAAAAGAAGAATTCAGATTTGATAGCAAACTTCAGAAATCAATTTCCTTCAATTTAGAAGGTTTTTCATTTTAAATTCCGGTTATGATTTAGTCCTCTGAGCCTAATTTCTTTCGGTGAGACTGCATAGAGCTTACAAAAGAAGAATTCAGATTTGATAGCAAACTTCATAAATCAATTTCCTTCAATTTAGAAGGTTTTTCATTTTAAATTTCGGTTATGACTTAGTCCTCTGAGCCTAATTTCTGTAACAACAAACGAATCATGATTTCGATGTTTCTACAACAAGTAATGAATTTTCTATCGGAAGAGTGTTATGTTGAAAAAAAATGACGAAAATTGAGTTTGGACTTTGGTATGCCTCAAGTTGACAATCAACCATTGTAAGAGCATATGTATTTAAAGATTACCAAAATTATTAAAATTGTGTTTCTACAAATTATAGAAAAATTATATTTATAATAAAATTATGGTAAATTTTTTTATGGTAAGTTTTTATAGAAATCAAACTATGAAAAATTCTATTGGAATCAAGTAGTTATGAAAATTTTCCATTGGAATCAAACAGGGAAAGTTTTGAAAGACTCCATAAAAAAGAAATATTTCACGAATACTTCAAGTCTTGTCTTTAAAGGTTCACAAGTCTAGCACCGCAACAAGGCTCGAAGCAGGGGACATTTGTAGACAGTAAAATTTTATTGATAAATTCATATTAAATTTTGGATTAATCCATAAATTCATGATATATTGACCAAGTCAAATTATTGATTAGTAAAATCGGATTAATATTTAAGTCAAAATATATGACTTAAATAAAGTCCTAATTACATTTGGGTTAGTCCATTAAGTTGACAAGGCGAGCTCAACTCATGCTGTTCAAACCTAATGTTCTCTAAGATTACTTGAAGATCAAAATATTTCCAAAACCTTTAACTCAAGCCTATATAAAGAGATTTCATAACACCAAAAGAAAAGAAAAAGAAAAAAAAAGGACATTGAGAGAAATACATATTCTCTTCGGTGGTAATCTACAAGTCTTTTGCATACAAAGAAGTCTTTGCTCCAAGTATTGAGCCGCACATATTCCATCAAATCAAGAACATCTGTGAAGAGAAGAATCAGAGGATTACATATAGCTTCTTAAAGATTTTATAAAGATTGTAACATTAACATAAATTCAAATACAAATACTATTGTTTGCTTGCAATTTTTCTTTCGTGTTTATTGTATTTCAGGATTGAAACTTTAAATACATACAAAGTTATAGGATTTTTTTTTACATTTATGTTATAATACAACTAAATAAAGTATATTCAATATTTTTCATATAAAAAAAGACTAAAATATTTTCTCCACGTTGAATTCTTAAATATAGTACACCATTCACTCACAAAAATATAAGTAAATATGGGCAAACTAGTATTTTACAAACCCATTTCTTATCCAATTCATTTTTATCCATATCAAATATGAACGGGTTGAAATATTACTCATTTTATGTCGATCCATTTTCAATTCGTTCAAATTTGATCAAATCCACCAATTTGCAACCACTAGTTACAATGCCACTAGCTTCTTTTTTAATTTGAGGGTATCTGATAAGGTTTTTACACTTCTCAAATAAGATTATAAGTCATAAACACTTCATAATAATTTATTAAATCGACAAATATGGTCTTAAACCCATTTATCAATTGTCTATATATGAAGTGTAAAAATATGTTCTTAATAATTTGGCATATTTTCACGCCCCGAGCCTACACCATGGACATGGGCAGAACCCAATGACCATTGATGGCCCTGAGCGAACCCTTTGTCTGACTTAATTAACTTAGTAGAAGACTTAACTCAATGTGAAACGAGGAACATCTCATAAATAACATTAATATAAATATCTTAGCCAAAATGGAACTTTAGTCTCAACATAAAATATCTTGGAAATATATAGACACCTAAACTGAACTACCTGACTGACTATCTGTCTATGAAGCCTCTATGATACTAAGATAAATGTTGGGACAATTCCCACAACAATCTACAAACGAAAACATGAAAAACAATAAAAGAGTCCCAAGGAATGGAAGGAGACTCACCACTAACTCTGAGTGCTCAAACTAGATCAACGATGTGCTAAATTTTGATCCTGGTTACCTGCGTATGTATCATAAAATGATGCAGGCCAACTGGCGCCAACACATTGAATGTAGAAATGTGCGAGTTGGAATACTAAAACAACAATTAAGCTGGAAAACGAGTAAGAAGGAACACTTACCATGACTCTGTTCAACTCATGAATAATTATTCATTTCAATATAATGCAATTTAAAAGTAATGTGCAATATAAAGAAAACATGCTGAAAACTCTGAATGTACACATGGATACAAATAATCTTTGACATGTATGTAAAAATATAAATATGTGATGTATATTAAAATACAATAACTTCTGTGGGAGCTTCTCTAATCGACAACCATCACTTAAGAGCTAGAGTGGTGATACAACGTTACTGGACGCACCCTGTCCGGCCATTCTAATCTTGCCAGAGTATAGAACCTGAACTGCCTAATGGACCCACTAGTATACAGTTAAAAGGGTTCATCTAAAAAGTATGACCCTCTTTTACCTATGATTGACTACATGATTTTCATGGAGACTTGAGTTAAAATGAACTTGCATTCCCACATCGATGTTCAATACTACTCTCAAAAATATACTGGCTCTTATACTTTTAAAACATACAGATTCTGTGGTTTGAGATTAATGCTTAAAACTTAGCTTTAGAAGCTCTCTTGGAAATCATAGTTTCTCTGATGTCTTCATTTTAAAAAGCTATTACTTCTGTCGGAAAACTAGCCCGAAGTCTCTTTACTTGTTTAAATGTGAAAATATTTATCACTCTTAAGGATTACTTAGTCCCCTTATAACTTTTGAGAATGAACTCAACTCTTTACTCTTGATTAAATAGTAATTTCAATCTTAAAACAAAGATAAAATTTTTTTTTAAAGACTCTTGGAAACTTAGGAACTCACTTTGACTTGCTTCTTAAATTTTAGACTAGACTCTTAACTCCTTTAACTTTAATCTTAACTTTCCTTGAATTGGATTATGGATTCAAGGGTCATGATCTCATGTTTAAGGATGATTTCATGATGTTTAGATGTACCTTAGAGTGTTGGAATCAACTTAGGAACGTGCGTAAATCACTTAGGAACTAGTACGAAAAGATAGGAAAAGAACGAGGTCTCTAGGTAACCTTGGCACTCTGAGAGGCGCAGAGCGCCAGAGCCTGATGGATAGCTTTTGGTTTGAGGCACTCTAGCTGGTGTGGCGCGTTTGGGCCTGTCAGACAGAGCCTACCCTAAGGGGCTTTGGCAGGCGCGGCGCCCTAGGGTCTCTCAGACGGCAATTCCAACTTTTCTTCTCCCTTTTTCATCTCTAAACCTTCTAATCTTCCATGGATCTTTCTTTAAACACTGAGGATCACTAATACTCTCAATACCCAATAAATTTGACTCAGAACACAACCCGAAAACACGAATCAAATAAACTAAGGGTATGCTACAACTCAACCAACAAGGATTCAACAATTGTCCATCAAGAACTTCAATATTCATCATTTAATTTATTCAAAACTCGCTGAATTAAACAAATTGGTGTGTGGGTGAACTATACCAATACATAAAGATCTCATATACCTTAGTAGGAATCACCCCCGACAAATTCCACTCGAAGATCTTGACGTTCTTGATGAACTCTTGGTTTTTTCTCCTTTCTCCTTCTCTTCTCTTTTTTCCCGATCCCTAAGCGTGAATTGATCTTCTAAAACTGATTTAAGACTTATTTTTACTCATAATAAACTCTTAAAACGAATTAGGGAATAGTAGGGTGAAAAGACTAGTTTACCCTTACTAAAATCTGGATCCTCAATCCAACTGTCTAACTTCCGAAAGACATATCTCCTTCATACGAAATCGGAATCAAGAAAACTTGGTGCCGTTGGAAAGATCTTCTCAAGGTCTTTCCAACCATATAAAGAATTGACTCTAACTCCTCATGAGTTAGAAGGTATGACTGTTTGAAAATGACCAAAACTCTTTTTTTAAACTTAGGAAATTTCTAGATTTTTCCCTTTCTTTCCAAAAGTGTTTATTTTTTATTTCTTAGCTTATTCCTAGTTAATTCGAGTTACCAGATGTGTTACACATATAACATATGACTTTTGGATTTTTTTAACAGGAAAATCCTCGAAATATTTATTTTCTTACGAATTTTCATACATAAATTTTAGAAAAATCTTATATAATTCACACTTTTCTTATAATGAACACAAGATCAGATGAGAAGCAATGAATCAAGTACTCAACAAGAAATTAACTCTGCACTCTGCATTATTAATTCTTACATTATTAATCTTCATGTCATACAACCCATAGTATGTATAAAAGAAGATATCACATGTTTTGCTTTTTATATAACTTTTATTAATTATAAATTGTGATTTTGTATCGCACAATGTACCTTAAGGGATTGTTTGATATAGTGTATTCACAAAAGAGATATATATATTTTTAAAAATCTGAACTTGGTCAGATAATTTATTTTATCACTTAAACTATACGGGTGTTTAAGTACCTCCTTAACATCAAGTGAATACCACACTGAGTACTTATCACATCATAGTCATGTCAACACCACATCATTACTTAATTTTTTTATTAATTATTTTTATAAAAAAAAAAGATTCAATGCTCTAAATAATTAATTACAAATACATTTTTTAAAACTAAAGTTTAAAATATGGATCCATTTTTATACCCCCCATACCTAGCCCCCACCCACCCCTTTTTATTTCCCCCCATACTCAGCCCCCACCCACCCCCTTCACTTCTTCCTTCTTCTTTATCATTTTTGGTCCTTATCTAATCATTATTTCCTCTTCATATTTTTCAATGAGCTCCGCCATATATCCTGTTTTTCTTCCTTTCTTCATCTTATTCGGTGAACCAATAAGATTTTGTTTTGCTCTGATGAGAATCGATAAAATTTATATATGTGAAATTAACGTCAATAATAAGATATTGTTGTTGAGTTTTTGGATTACTAAAGAAACGATGAAATTGAAGTAGTTGATGGAGTTGAAGAGGATGATGGAGGAAAAAAGGATACTTCAATGGAGAAGAAGCTTTCGGGAAAGACAATAACATAAAGATAAAAAAATTTAAAACTTTTGTGAGCCAATAAGAAAATTCATATAGTTTAATAAAAGTTAATATATTAAGAAAATAATATTTAAAATATTAATATATATTGATTGACCTATAAAAAATGACATGTGTGATTTTATAATTTTTTTTAATTCCTTCACACGCTACTAGGTGAGTGAACTCACTCTCTTTGCGACGTCATCTCTTAGGGTGACATTTAATGCACTTTAAAAATGTTCAAGGGGGAATATATAAACACTCATATAGTTTAAGTGCTAAAGTAAGTTATCCAACCAAGTTTAGGGGAATTTTATGTATTTTCGATCTACTTTCATGGCTATGATGAACTTTCTTCTCTCTCTCCTATTTAAAAGATCAAATTCCAATTTTTCTTATATAGTGGAAACACCCTACATATGAAGTTTTACACTTTAGGCAAGAAATGTTCTTGGTGGATGCATGACTTGGGACCCTCAGAATTTGTATGCAAGATGAGCTTGAACGGGGTCTACTCAAATGGATTGAATAAGCAAGTCAATAAGATCAAATTGCTCTTGCTAAACCAACTAGTAATCACCAAGTACCTTTGTCTATCAAATCAATTTGGGATAGCTTGGTTGGTGAGAGAATTTTAGCATTCATTATACAAAGAAAATGGATAGCCTGAAAAACTTGGAATGATTACAAAATGCTTACCTTCTTTGATTCAGACTATACGGCTTGGCTTCGCTATCACTCGTAATGGTCGATAGTATTCCTGCCATAGGGCTAGGCGAATCCCAACCTTTCATTAGCTAGAAAATAATGCATGCATTTAGCTTTTTGTGTTATTAATATCTTGTTTGATACTCTTTTTTAAGTCAAATATAACTAGTGTATATTAATTTATGTATTGCTAATATCATTGTTATAATTTTTTAATGCAATATATTTTTTTTTAATGTATCAAACCATACAATGTATAAAATTAATCTAAATAAAATTAATATTAAAAAAACTATTATATATATTACTAATGCAAATCTTACTAATATTATTCTATTTAACATTTGTTTTATATGCTCAATCAAACTACGGTAATATTGACAAGGAAGGGACGAATATTGAATACGAGTACTCTAGAGAGGTGCCTGCCGACGAAACTTTGTAATTTGTGTTTTATTTAAAAAAAAAAAAAAGACCTTAATTTACAGTAAAGAGCTCACCTTCCCCAATTTCAAATTTTGTCAATCCATAAAATCGCCCGCCCAACTCACATCCACAATCAGATCCTCCTCCATCGACTAATTTTCAATTTCTTGTGCCCTTTTACTTCTCTCTTTGGTTCTGGTTCTGGTTCTGGTTCAAGGTCTCTAAACAATTGGAAACTAATCTTCAATTCCTATTTTTTGATGGCAAACCCCGATTCTACTCTACCTGTTCCTGCTTCTGCTGCTTCTCCACTCTCTGCAGTACATCCTTCAACTTTCTCTAGTTCATATGTGAAATGGGTTTTTCTTGTTTTCTCAGTTTTCTTTTTTTTCTAACATTGGATTAATTTTTTCTAGTTTGAAATTCTGATTGGGTATTTTCTGATTTGCTGTTTGCTTTATTCTTTTATGGTTTGATATGCGAAATGGGTTGTTTATTTCTTGAGAAATATTCGTTTAATTAGCGTCAAAATGTCGTCTTTTTTCATGGGGTTGCTCTGTTTGTTTGAAATCTGAACTGGGTATTCTCTGATTTGCTCTCTGCTTAACCCTTTATGATTTGATATGCGAAATGGGTTGTTTTTATCTTGAGATTTTTTTTTAATTAGCATCCAAATGTCGTCTTTTTTCATGGGGTTGCTTTGTTTGTTTGGAATCTGAACTGGGTATTTTCTGATTTGCTGTCTGCTTTATCCTTTTATGGTTTGATATGTAAAATGGGTTGTTTGTTTCTTGAGATTCTTTTTTTGAATTAGCATTAAATTGACGTCTTTTTCATGGGTTGCTTTGTTTGTTTGAAATCTGAACTGGGTATTTACCTAATTGTTTTTTTGTTGATCCGTATTTGGTAGAAGAAGGAGAATGTGGTGCCGGCTAGCTCCAAAATTAAGGTACATATTTTCTGTTCCATTTATGTAAAAGGTTGGGATTTGGCTATTGATTTCTAATTATGTTTTTACTGATAGGAATTGACTGAGTCAAGGCAAGAGCTGCTCACTAGGATTCAGAGCTTGAAAACAGTAAGCTCATGTTACTAGCATCGCTAGAGTCTGTCTATTCTTTTGTTGCTGGTGATGGTAGTTTACTATTTGGCTTCTTTGATGTCTAGGATCTTCAAAGCTGGAGATATAAGTTGGATGGCCAAGTAAAGGTCTATCGAGATGTAAGTACATCCTTCTTTCAATTTCATTAGCTGTTAATGGATTTAACAGACTTAGTGTGAAGTAAATCAACTTTACTGTGTACATATGATTCATACTCAATAGTTTTGACAAATCATGAGGTCCAACTTTGGAGTTGGTAGGCAGTGATAGTTGGTTTGTTGCTTGGTTTTCTCTAGTGTATGCAGAGGCGAATTTTAGGATTTTCAGAATATGGGCGCACCACTAAACTAAAAAAAGAGAAAACATTGCATAATTGATCTCTTTTCCTCTAGATAAATAACTCAAAGTTCCACCTAGTGCACCAATTAGCCTTCTTGTTGCATAGGTGTCAACTAATAATATTATACCAATTTTAGTAATTACATAAATACCTAGTTTAACAGAGACCACTGGGTCACGCCCCATTTTTAACATCTAAGTTCACTCCTGAGTGTATGTGAAGCTTTACTTCTACCTTCCTGGATTTAGAAAAGTTTCTAGTTTGGTAAGTGCAGTATAGAAGTATGGAGTTGCCGATGAGAATCTTTCGTTTGACATTTTAAACAAATTCTGGCTGAAAAGGTTGTATTGCAATTTAAAAAACTGACGGATTTCAGTTGGCCTACAAAATTTGTGTATTCTTGGAGAGCTAAAACACCTGATAGCTTTTTCCTGGAAATGTGAGATGATTGGATCAGCAGTTGCATTTAGAAATATCAATGTGAGACAAGAAATTTGTGAAAGGCAGGAAACACAGGCTAGGAGAAAGGTCAATATAACAACAGAAACAAGGATATAAGATACTTGTAGTTGGTGAAATTTCGTTATGATAAAGGCTAAAACTTAATCTCTATCATTTGCAACTGATTCAATTGATTGGAGTCTTGGAGATGCGCGGACCATATTTTTCTTTGCTTATTCATTTGAGATGTATCTGACCAATAAAAGAGAGACAGAGCCCAAAAACAGCCCCACCCCCACCCCCCTGCTAGCAGTATTCATGCAAGGCACAAAAATCTGCTTGGTAAATGGAAGAAGGCTCCTCTCAAATAATATTTGTTCTCAGTCTATTTCGACTTTTATACATGAAAGCCTTGTACTTCTTAATCTTATTCAGCAACTTAGAAGTTTCTATTTTTCCTCCCCTTCTACCAGGAACTGTCGGATCTCAAGAAATCATTGAATGTTGAAGTGGAGCAACTTAGATCTGTGAGCAATGCTCTAGTCAGTATATTTTTCATGATCTTTTGAGATTCAATTTTGTATTTAATAAATCATATCATTTTTGAACCAGGAATTTCAAGAGTTAAAAACAACTCTTCAGCAACAGCAGGAAGATGTTACCAACAGCTTAAGAAACTTAGGGGCGAGTTATCTTATGCTTTTTACTCCCCCGTTTTTTCATTTTACCTGGCCCCAATACTAAAAATAGATGGTCCATTTTAGTAAATCAATAGAGTTTTATTACTTTCTTTCTGTTATAGCCTTAGTATAAAAACTAGAAAAAGTAGTAGACAAATTTAGAGCTTCAAAGCATCATTAATAACGTTAGTTTAATAAAATACAACTGTATTTTAAAGTTTTCAAAAGGGATTTGTCAGGTCAACAAGAGTCAAGTAATATGAAACGGAGGGAGTAACTCTTTGAATTATGGATTCCACTGAGTCCCATCCTGAATTCCTGATAATGTATTAACATTATACTTCTTCCTTCCATTTTCTGTCAGTGACCATCCATAGATTTTAACATATTAATTTGTTTAATGTGTAATACTTGTAGAAGTGGTAGAGAAATATCAAAGTAATGGTTGAAAAACTTTGGTGTTCATAGAGAAAATGTTTCATCAAAGTTTAGAATATGAGCTTTATAATTTGTGAAAATTTTAGTTGTTAGTAAAAGGGTGTCAAGCATCTAAAATGTAATGAGTGCCATATAAAATTGGACGGAGAGAGCAGTTGTTTCACTTTAAATTGCAAAGAAATTCTGATTTTTGTTTGTGGAACTACCTACAGCTTCAGGATGCCTCCGAAGAAACGAAAGAGGCTGAAGATGTCAAGCCTGATAACAATGAAGAAGATACAGCTCAGGATTTGCCAAAGGACAATGGTAAAGACACCGAGGAGTAGGCTGAGTTACGTGCATCCTTTCCCTAAACGTTTCTCATCTTCTTCGATGAAATATCGTTGGGCATGTGCTAGGTTGAGAAGTGTTCTCTTATTCTCATTTATGATGAGATCAAGTCTGTGATTGAATTAGCTCAAGTCTTTCCTCCCAGTTATTAGTTCAATGATATTAGTTGTACTGCTATTGACTTACAATTTTCATGAGGGGTAATCTGATGGATAATTTAATTTATTTATTACACGAAAGTCACTAAACTATAGGTTCTTGTAATTTAGAAGTTATTAAATAAGGGAAGTATCAAACTTAGACGTTTGAATGGGAACTTTCACAATGACTTCAGGATGCAAAATCTGATCTACACATTTTTATGCTTGAGCTGTAAACACTCTCAAAATCTTTATGATTTTCTGAGGGGTTGGAGGTTTGAAAATGGACTCCATGTTAACCCAGTATAATCGGTCCATAAATTATTAAACCTAAAGTAAATATCATATATATTTGTCAATTTTGGTTCGACTTTAATCATACATGAAAATAAAATAAAAAATAAGGTGGGGAATAGAAAAACAATTAGTTAGCAAGCAGACACTTGCCAACATCATTTGTCATAATGTAACTTTTCCTTTCAATTGAGCCTTCGGTGACAGTGGAGAAAATAAAAGCAAAATGGGAAGAGCCAAAAACTGAATCATGCTGTCAAGTTAATTATATTTACTAACAAATAGTAATAAATAAATAGTATTAAATAATATTAGTATTTACTGTGTACTAATCCTAGTCCTATTAGGATTAGTACTCCTTAATCCTAGTCCTATTAGGATTAGTACTCCTCCCTATATCCCTTATATATATCTCCCATGTATACTCCTCCCTATATCCCTTATATATATCTCCCATGTATTCTCTTATTAGGTTAACACTTCAATACAATCAATATTCTTTCATGGTATCAAGAGCCAGAAAACCTAGATCTTCTTTTCTCTAGGTTTTTTTCTCTCTTTAGGGCACCGATCGTTCCCTCTCTTCTCTTGGGCGGCGGCAGCCATGACAACCGAGGTGGATCCTCTCGATTCACTTCCTTCTGGCGTTAAACTCCTTCTCAGGCATCTTCATGCCCTGATTCCCGAAAAATTATCAGACATAAATTACCCTACATGGAAAATCACCGTTCTTACAGCCCTTGAGGCCAATTACCTTCTCAAATACGTCGATGGAAGCACAGAACCGCCGCCGGCAGCCATTACCGCCATGGACAAATCAGAAAAAAACAATCCGGCCCATGCCGCCTGGAAAGCAGTGGATGGCCAGATCCGATCATGTTTGATTGCGGTCATCTCTCCCACGGTTCAGAAACACGTCCGATCCTACACAACTGCTTCAGCCCTGTGGACAGCCCTCGCAGCACGCTATGCATCAATTTCCCACTCTCATATTTTTCAATTGCGTGATCGTCTCCACACAATTACCAAAGGCACGAAAACTATGGCGGAGTATTTAGACGAGGTCTCCACCATCATCACAGGCCTCGACACCGTGAACGAAATCATTCCCGAAAAAGATCTCGTCATGTGCGTCGTTCAGGGACTCCCATTAACTTACTCCTCCATTAAACAGGCGGTTCGCATCAGTCCAACGCCCGTTGACCTGGCTACTCTCTCCTCGTGGCTAAAAAGTGAAGAAATCAACGTGGATCTGGAGAGTAAACTTCTTCTCCGAGAAGCCGTTGTTATGGAGCCGGCCACTGCCCTCACCGCAAGCCAAAACTATCGCGGGGGGCGTGGTGGCGGCCGGCAGGGAAGCCGCGGCGGCTACGGCAGAAACAGCGGAGGCCGCGTACGACGGTCAGCAGCACGGCAGCAACAACAGCCTGCATTCCTTCGGCAGGGGCGGGCAGGACACTTACGAGCAGGATCTTCCAACTTGTCAAATCTGTCAGAAAACAGGACACACCGCTGTTCGTTGCTGATTTCGGTATGAGGAGAGCCGAAATAGTGATAGTCGTGCCAATTATGCATCTCAAGCCGGCCCTTCCTCTGAATGGTTGTTGGATACTGGGGCCAACATGCACGTTACTTCTGATCTATCCAAGCTTAACGCTCCAAATCCATATCATGGCTCCAATGGTATTACTGTTGGCAACGGTGAGTGCCTTAATATTTCTCACACTGGCACGGGTACCATTAAAATCCCCATCGCTATCTTTCACCTAGGTAACCTTACCCACGTCCCTTCTATTAAAACCAATCTCCTTTCAGTTCACCAATTCACAAAAGACAATAATTGCTCACTCTTGTTCACCTCTAATGATTTTCAGATCCTAGATAATACTACCAAGAGGGTGATTTTTCAGGACCCCTGTGAGCATGGTCTGTATGTTCTTCCTGGCACAAGTTCGTTTGCCCACCCAGTTTCAGAAAGCGTTCATGTGGCTCTTTCGGCTGATGGCCACAGTCTGTTGTGGCACAGTCGTCTGGGTCACCCGTCTACTCAAATAATAAATTCGTTAATGTCTCAATTAGGTTTTTCTTTCATTCATGTAAACAATTGTGACTCCTGTTCAATTGCTAAATCTTATAAATTACCTTTTACTTTATCTGAGACGCGTACAACTGCACCTTTTCAACTTATTCATTCTGACCTATGGGGTCCTACTGCTGTTCCTTCATTTGTTGGTTTTCGCTATCAACTCCTTTACCAAGAACTTCCCAATTATACCAACCTCCGCGTCTTTGGGTGTCTTGCCTACCCTTGGCTACGCCCTCATATTACTCACAAATTACAACCCCGATTTCGTCCTTGTTATTTTTTGGACTATCTTCCTACCTCCAAGGGTTATCGCTGTCTTGACCCACAAACTCATAAAGTCTACATATCTCGTCATGTCAAATTTGTCGAAAATGAGTTTCCCTACGAGTCTATTTCCTCCTCCAAAATACATCATTCATTGGCGTCCTTCCCCTTTTTTCAACATACTCACAGGGTCCCTCACCACCTTCCCCCACACCTCCACCCACTACCCAACCACCCCTCCTCACCCCTTCGACCGTCACCCACAATACACCCGCAACCACCACTCACACTCACAACCAACCCGAACCACTCCATACCCACAACATCTCCAGCCCGATCCGTTTTGGGTCCTTTCCGGCCACCCTCGAATCACCACCGCCCGTGCCACCCCCCAATACTCATCCCATGTTAACCCGTGGCAAAGCCGACCAAATGCCCCCCTTCCCGATAGTGAACCAACAACCTACTCTGTTGCCTCAAAGAATGCTTATTGGCGTCATGCTATGGATGACGAGTTTAAGGCTTTGACTGATCAGAAAACTTGGGTTCTTGTACCTAAGCCCCATGGGCGGCACCCAGTGGGCTGTAAATGTGTAACGATTCAAAAAAAATAAAATTTATATAAATAAGAATAAATAAGTATTTAAGGGCGTAATTGTCCTTTCACGTTTTAAATGAATAAATAAATAAATAAATCAAAAACAGATTTGTATTTATTTATTTTAAATGTTATTTGACTAATTCTTGAATTAGCCTCCTAATCTCAATAGTCCTCTCTCTCTCACGCTTCTTAACTCCCTCTCTCACGTTCTCCACCTTCCTCACATTATTTCTGCCAAAATATCAACAGTTTTCATGCTTGAAGAACTCACAAAAATTTTTTAAGCAAAAGAAAAAGTAATCAAAATGTCAAGGCTAAGAGAGGTTTGTCGAGAGAGGTATACGTTGAAGTGAATTGGGAGTGGTTTGGAGGAGTTTTCCGGGCAGCAACATTAAAGTTTGAACATCGATTAAGGTATGAGTTTTCTTCTCTCTTGGCTCCTTTCCCAAGAGGTCCCTTATGATTCAAACTATTCATCTCGAAACTAAGGTTGTTCCCCGTTGCATGCCCCTGTCACTAGCTTCCTATGATCTTAGGTTGGGTATTCTTGTTGGTAGAATTTAGAGATACTTGTTTATGGTGACGATCTCGTTTCGAGTATGTGTTCATGATGATGTGATTATATTTTATGTCTTCCGAAAAATATGAATGTATATGTGCAAGATTTTGACCAAATCATACTTTTAACTTGTCTTAAGAATCTCAACGAACGACAAATAAAGAGGTGCTTAAAAGTCCCGTAAATTGTTTCTTATGTGTAAATTAGTAAACTTTTGATCGTTAATACATACTAATACAATATGAATCTTATGTAATATTACACCCACTGTTAAAGCATGTTATTACACACGCTAATGTTAGCTTGGTGTCAACATTTTTACCATGCCATCAAAACTTGAATAATAGACGTTATGAACCAACACAGTTGCAATACCTGACATTATACCACACTATTGTAGTGTAAATTAACTATATTTTTGAAATCTAACATTATTAATTATCATATTGTCAGTGACTTGAACATCTATAAGATTATAATTAGTTAATATTTACTTACTAGCAGTGTAAGTGACGTGTTTGTACAAAATTAAGTACAAGATAATTTGGTGATTTCATATACTTATTTATTGTAAATTAGCTACTGCTATATCTAATGATGTTTAATATACTAATACTATATGTGACACAAAGTACAACTAGAACAAGCAATGATTTTTTTTTTGGTCACTACAATATTTACATTATAAAATTTATACTCTAAATAAGGTGTTCCTTTGCTGTACCATATTGGGTGTTAACAAAAAAAAGAGGCACGTATAGTTGATATAAGCTAAATTAACAATGGGTTAACAGTACGCAATACAACATATTCGTTATCTAAATTGTAAGATTTAAATTAGAGTTCTAATGTTATGAATATTAGAAATAAAAGCAATAAAATATATATATATATATATATATATATATATATATATATATATATATATATATATATATATATAAATATAAATGATATCCAAGTGATTCAAGAATTGGGTTCCCGTGTCCAAACTTCCGTATTGATACATAAGTCATACGTGAGTAAAAATATTCAAGAATAATGCCATCTACTTTGAAAAAAAATTCAAGATCTTGGTATATATACAAGATACATAAGTCTTGTAATGCATAATCTTAGGAAAATAAGAATCACTTAACGAATTATAAGTGAAGCCCCATGGCTTGTATGTATAAACACATAAGTTTAACATACGTTCAAAAATAAGTGAACCTAAGATATACGTAATGAAATGAAGAATGGGGTGACAACCATGATGTGAGACTAATGTATATGATGAGAGCAATCTCAAATGAGCCTAAGTAAATGTTACCAATACGTACTTACCAATGTGAGTGTAAGATAATGAAGAGACCAGTCTCTATGAACACTCTAAT